TGCGTCCACCTTGTTCGAGGGACCTGCAGCCAGGTGGTTGGAATCGGTTCAGCGTCGGGCGCCAAACGCACCATGGGAGGATTTCTGCAGGTTGTTACAGTGCAGATTCGGACGAAACCAACACCAGGCGTTAGTACGCAAATTTCACAGTATATCCCAAACGGGTTCAGTGGAGGAATATGTGGAGCAATTTGCCGAGCTCTATGACCAGCTGTCTGCATACGAAGCAGTGCCTGAGTCGGTGCACTATGTCACCAAGTTCATCGATGGATTATCTTCTTCAGTCAGGGTGATGGTTGCACTATAGCAGCCGGCAGATTTGGACGCAGCTTATGAGTTGGCCCTGTTACATGAGTCCCTAACCAGTTCAACTTCTCAACAGCATCAGATCGTTCGCCGACAACACTATCCACAGTCTGTCTCGATTGCAAAATCAACCGCGAGCAAACCCACGGAAGATAGAAGAAGCGTGGCAGATGTACAGAAGCAGAAAATGGGCGAGGATAAATGGGAAGCTTTGAGATCTTACCGTAAGGCTAAGGGGCTGTGTTTTATGTGTGGAGAGAAATGGAGTCGTGACCATCAATGCAAGCAGTCAGTGTCACTTCACGTGGTGCAAGAGATGGTAGAATTTTTTCAGTGCACATCTTCAGAGGAGTTTGGTTCAGATGAGGATGAAGAGGTCAATTTAATGGCCATTTCTGAGGCAACTGAAGGAAGAACAGCTCGTAGTAAGGCCTTTCAATTGGTTGTCATACTCAATGGACAGCAGAAAACCTTCCTGGTTGATTCTGGCAGTACCCACTCCTTTGTGGATACTGCTACAGCGAACATATTGACAGGAGTGCAGACTTGTTCAGCGATGAAGGTCAGGGTAGCAAGTGGAGAAATAATGAGTTGTTCCAGTTTTATGCCCAATTGCAAATGGTCAGCGCAAGGTGTACAGTTTGAACATGATCTCAAAATTTTACCCCTTAGCTGCTATGATGGAATTCTGGGAATGGATTGGTTGGCTAAACACAGTCCAATGACTGTAGATTGGGAATAACAATGGATGTCCTTCCCTTTGTATGGAAAAACAGTAACCATCCAAGGAGCTACACCTGTGGAATTTGCTTACACTATTATAGAATTGTCAGTAGTCACTGATGATAATGCACAAACTGTGTTGCTAGAAATTCAGGAATTACTAGAGGAATACAAGGATGTTTTTGCTATCCCAACTGGGTTACCACCGGAGAGAGCCTGTGATCACTCTATTCCTCTTATTCCAGGTGCTAGGCCATTTTCACACAGGCCATATAGGCTAGCACCGGAGTTAAAAGATGAGGTGGAAAAGCAAATCCAGGAAATGCTAGACTCTGGTGTGATTAGAAGGAGTAACAATCCTTTCTCCTCACCAATTCTATTGGTTAAGAAGGACCATACATGGAGATTAGTAGTGGACTACAGACATCTCAATGCTCTTACAATCAAAGGAAACTACCCTATGCCTGTGATAGATGAACTACTGGATGAATTACATGGTGCACAGTGGTTTACAAAATTGGATCTCAGAGCTGGTTACCATCAGATCAGACTAGCTCCTGGTGAAGAATATAAAACAACATTTCAAACCCATCATGGGCATTTTGAATTTTTAGTTGTGGGTTTTGGTCTGACAGGAGCTCCAAACACTTTCCAAGGGGCCATAAATGTGTCCTTGTCTGAAGAACCTGATATGCTTAGAAATTTTGTGATAGCTTTCTTTGATGACATCCTTGTTTTCAGCAAGACCTTGCAACAACATATAGAACATGTCAGAAGAGTTCTGCAAGTTTTGAGAAGGGACAAATGGTATGTGAAACTCTCCAAGTGTGAATTTGCTTCTCAGAAATTGCTATACTTGGGACATATTATCAGCAAGGATGGGGTTTCCACTAATCCTGAAAAGATAAGCACTATTGAACAATGGCCACAACTAGAATCTGTCAAGGAGGTCAGAAGTTTTCTGGGGCTAGCTGGGTATTACAGAAAGTTCATTCGCCACTTTGGAATTATTGCCAAGCCAATGACTAACTTACTGAGAAAGGGTGTTGTATTCGTTTGGACCAGTGTAGAGGACACAGCCTTCCAAACGTTGAAACAAGCGTTAGTCAGTGCTCCTGTTTTGGCACTCCCTAATTTTCAGAAACCCTTTGCTATTGAGACAGATGCTAGTGACAGTGGGATTGGTGCTGTGTTGTCACAAGATGGACATCCTGTAGCTTTTGTTAGCAGGGCCCTGGGTCCCAAAAATCAGACACTGTCAGTGTATGAAAAAGAGTTCTTGGTGATTCTGCTGGCGGTAGAACAATGGCGCTCATACCTGCAGCTAAAGGAGTTTCAGATCATTACTGACCAAAAGGCCTTAGTCAGTTTAATAGAGCAATGCTTGCATACTGCTTGGCAGCAAAAAGCACTCACTAAGCTGTTCGGGTTGGATTATAAGATCATTTACAGAAAAGGGATTGAGAACAAGGTCGCTGATGCATTGTCCAGACGCCCTCATGTGTCAGGAGACTGTTATACTTTGTCAGCAATTCAGCCAGCCTGGGTGCAGGAAATATTGGATAGCTACATTTTAGACTCTCATGCTACAGCGATCGCGCAAAAGTTAGCAGTGGACCCAACAGCTGTTCCTAATTATACACTGCAAGGAGGGCTTCTTCGTTTCAAGAAAAGGATCTGGATTGGATCAAATGAACAGCTGCAACGTAAAATCATCGACAGTTTGCATGCTAGTTCAGTTGGGGGTCATTCAGGTTTTCCTGTCACTTATCGCAGGATTTCTTCCAGTGGAAGAAAATGAAGCAAATGGTCAAAGAGGTGTTGCAACAATGCCAGGTTTGCCAGCTCGCTAAACCTGACAGAGTACCCTACCCGGGCCTGTTACAACCATTACCAATACCTGCACAACCATGGGAAATGATGACAATGGATTTCATCGAAGGCTTGCCAGTCTCGCATAATCACAATTGCATTCTGGTGGTCATCGACAAATTGACTAAATATGGACATTTCATAGCCCTCAAGCATCCCTACACGGCAGCAACAGTTGCTGAATCTTTTCTGGACCGTGTGTATCGGCTCCATGGACTTACTGTGTCCTTGGTTTCGGATCGTGACCCCGTTTTCACCAGTGCATTCTGGAAGGAGGTGTGCAACAGAACAGGGATCCAATTGCGTATGAGTTCTGGTCAACACTCACAAACTGATGGACAAACGGAACGTGTGAACCAACAAGTCGAGGGCTATCTCAGATGCTTCATCAGTGCCCATCCACAGCGTTGGTTCAGCTGGCTTCCTCTTTGTGAGCTATGGTATAACACTAATTGGCATTCGTCGACAGGCAGAACTCCGTTTGAACTGGTATATGGGCACCCTCCCTGTTACTTTGGTCTCTCTCCTGTAGATGCTATAAGCAATTCAGACGCTCATCAGTGGCTGCGTGATAGGCATGTCATCATGGAATCAGTCAAACAGCACTTGGTTCGTACGCAACAGCGCATGAAGGTTCAGGCTGATAAACATCGAACAGAGAGACAATTTGAGGTGGGAGATACAGTCTTTCTCAAAATGCAACCATACATTCAGTCATCCATCGCCCCGAGGGCAAATCACAAGCTTGCTTTTAAATATTTTGGGCCCTTTGAAATTTTGGCTCGAGTTGGTACAGTGGCATACAAGCTGGCATTGCCGGAGAATTGCAGAGTGCATCCAGTTTTTCATGTCTCCCTACTCAAGCGCCATGTTAAACCAGACCAACAGGTATTACCAATCCTGCCTTCGACAACTTCTCACCTGCAGGTGCCTACTGGTTTCCTGGACCGTCGACTGATTTCGCGTGGTAACAAGACGGTAACTCAAGTCCTGGTCAAATGGAGTCACTCCCCGGCGTCATTGGCAACCTGGGAAGATCAAGATGTGCTGAAGCAACAGTTTCCGCGCGCTCCGGCTTGGGGGCAAGCCGTTTCCTCTCAAGGGGGGATTGTCAGCAGCGCTGAGGATGAAGAGGCGACAAGAACTGAAGAGCTACAGGAGAACCGGGCCAGAGCGGAGCAGGCCACTCCCCGGCATCATTGGCAACCTGGGAAGATCAAGATGTGCTGAAGCAACAGTTTCCGCGCGCTCCGGCTTGGGGGCAAGCCGTTTCCTCTCAAGGGGGGATTGTCAGCAGCGCTGAGGATGAAGAGGCGACAAGAACTGAAGAGCTACAGGAGAACCGGGCCAGAGCGGAGCAGGCCAGGCCCAAGAGGAGGATGCAGGCCCCTTCAAGGTTGCGTGGCCCAGAGTGGGTCCGGTAATCGCGATATATGTATTCCCCTCCCCTTGCTGTAACGGGTGGCTGGCGGCTTCGGCCGAATGGATAGATAGTTGGCGTATGAGACTTGGCTGTAATCTCTCCTCCCTGCTTGAATCCTCATGAACTAGATCGAGATCCGAGTAAATCCTGCAACTATATTCGAGAGATCCTAGTTCGTGCTTACAAGACAGTTCTCATTACTTATGTTATTTAAATAAGTGCCGTTGGCGGCTTAATTTCTTATAATGAATGAACTCCTTAGTTCATGTTGCCTGAATAACTGAATAACTGAATGAACTCCTTAGTGCAGTTGTGTTTCAATGTACTACATCGGATAATGGTTGTAAAGTATTCACAGCATATATTTCAGTAATCTGTTGTGATAATTCTGAAGTGCAACTTTTATTGTGTGGTTGGTTGGCATGTATAATTTTCTTGCTTGTAAGTGCAACTTTGGTTGTGTGGGTTGGTCTAGTTCTTCCCTGTGGTTGGTTGGCATGTACAATTTTCTTGCTTGTAAGTGCAACTTTGGTTGTGTGGGTTGGTCTAGTTCTTCCCTGTGCTGCTTTGTAATATTACAACATAAAATTGTGAAGACATAATGCTGCTATTGCAATGTTGGTTTCTTGTTTCTTTTGGTATTTCAGACATCTTATCTATTTGCCTCCTTGTGCAGGCTTTTCGGCTGAATCTCTTGTTCCGAGGGACCAGGATGTAGAGTTGGCTGAGCTCACACCAACTACGGCAGCTCTGAAGAATCCCTGTGCCAAAATTGTCTACGATGAGTATAACCACGAGAGGTACCCACCTGGTGACCCCAGCAAGCGTGCCTTTGCCTACTTTGTGTTGAGTGGTGGGAGATTTGTGTACGCATCCTTGTTGCGTTTGCTCGTCTTAAAGTTTGTCCTGAGTATGTCAGCAAGTAAGGATGTGCTTGCCCTTGCTTCCCTTGAGGTTGACCTGTCAAGTATTGAGCCCGGTACCACTGTGACTGTAAAGTGGCGGGGCAAGCCAGTTTTCATCAGGCGCAGGACTGAAGATGATGTGAAGCTGGCCAACAGTGTTGATGTTACATCTCTCCGTGATCCACAGGAGGATGCGGTGCGTGTCAAGAACCCTGAGTGGCTTGTTGTCATTGGTGTCTGCACTCACTTGGGTTGCATTCCCCTCCCCAACTCTGGGGACTTCGGTGGCTGGTTCTGCCCATGTCATGGCTCACACTACGACATCTCAGGTAGAATCAGGAAGGGCCCAGCACCATACAACCTGGAGGTCCCGACCTACAGTTTCTTGGAAGATAACAAAATGCTTATTGGCTAAGAGCACTGGCCGTAAGATTAATCCCTATGGTGCTGTGCTGCCATTTTGTGTTGGTTTGACCATTCATCTTTTTGTTGCTCGGATAGTCCTTTGATGGACTGTTATCTTAGTGCAGTACTCTTACTAGCACTGGATAGTAAAGAATAATCTGCTGCTACTTCGGTACTGTTAATTAATTTCCAAATATGGCCGTGTTTTTTGGAGCTCAGTAGGAATTATCTTATTGTCATATCTTAGATGCCCCTGTCAAGCCTTCATATGATTGTTTTCTACCAACTTTTCTTCAGTCTCCATACATGTGATCTGCTGTTGCTGATATGTTTGGATGTGACATGAAATATTTCTCCATGAGCTGTTTTTATGGTCTGTGGATGATGTTAGTGATGGGGAGGCATAAGTGGTTGCTGTTATGTGCCTATCGACTCTTCATTGCTTGTGTCGCAACCATACATAGACACATTCGGTTTGCAAGTTTTGTTTTTTGAAACAAGGAAAAGGGTTTGCTATTTTCATTGAGTAAGAAGAAGGTTTTTAGAGTCTTTGCCAAAGGCTGAATTACATGCATCACTCTTGCAGCATTACGTTACACAAATATTTGGCCCCGACGAGGCACCACAACGAAGCTTATATCCCAGGGCATTCCCAAAATAGCCAGTAGCAGGAGCCTGAGACCGATCCCAGCTTTATCCACATCCATTCCTTTTGCACTTATTATCCCATATAAGACACCCCGGCGAGGCACATGGCCAAAATAGCCAGCAGCTGGGCCCAAACTTTATCCACATTCATCCCTTTTACATTTATCCCATATATAAATCCCCTAAAAAACCATATATAAAGCACATGTATTTACTAGTTTACACATCGTAAATGTTAGGTTTTTTATATATATAGGTGATCCATCACAATGACCAATGGCAGTCAAAAATTGAAGCAACCTATGAATGGCATGTTCTATAAATGATTTGCAAAGAGTACCTGGTTCCTTGGATAATTATGAATAAGCACAACCACAACCACACCAAGAAACATATGTATAACCAGATTCAAAAACATACCCATAACTAGTGCTATATGTCATTGTCATATTATCTTGCATAATCGTAAGATAGATATCATGATATTTATATGGTTCATTCGTTTTCACTCTGCGCAGTCTCCTCCATGGGCATGTCCATTTCCGCCCATAGGTCGACAATGGGATCCATTGGTTGTTCCTCCTCGTTGTGAGCCCCAAGATTGAAGACAAGGGGTGCTCGAGGGAGTGCACCATTGATAAGGAAGTGGGAAGTGGACTGGGGAGCGTATGATGGTGGACCGAGGAAGTGCCGCACTGAGTGATCTATTTATGGGCCACCGTAGAGGCGGCAGGTGGCCGACTGGAGCCGGTCGAAGGGGGCGTTTGTTGGCGGTGCACCGGCGACCGCATAGATTTAAAGCCCTGGCGTGGTGCGAGGAGGAGGAAGGTCAATTTCCTTCCCGTGCGAGCTCTTCGCTTTCATTTTTAAACATCATAATGAGTAAGGCAAGGGTGTTCTATCGTTGATGCATGGCCACTACTTCGTGGGCTCCCTCTACCTCTTCATTTGCCTTGAAAGACCATACGTCGGTAGATCACTTCTAGACGGCGGTCGTGTGCCTTGAAACATCATATGCCTAGATCGACGTTGGATGGTCCTTGCTTCTTCTGCCTCCTCGTCTATTTTTGCCTTACCGCTTGCCTGCTCGAACTGCGCTTGGCAACCCCCCCATTAAATAACCAACACATTCTCTTCCCAATTCCTCTCTATCAAACTCACCCTCTCCCAAATGCAGCCTTTCACGCGTTCTCTGCAACTCCGGCAAGTAGATGAAGTACATGTGTTGCTCAGCAACACCGTACGTCGAGGAACACGACGTGTGATAGGGGCAGGGTTGTCTTGATCTTTTGACGAGATGATAACTATCGATTTGGTGGAGAACAACTTTCACAATCCGACAACAGACATGAAGGACGTTGCACCTTAGCAATCGCTAAACCAATCTCCAGGAGGTTACTGATGATGCTGGAAGCACGATCAGCCTGACCACAAAGGTCTATTCCTGCAAGCAATCGAAGAACGAGCAAGAATATAATAAAGCAATCTGAATATTGCGAATATATGTGAAGTATTGATAAAGTGGGGATCAGAAAGCGGTCTTGGTCTGGTCGTTGGACACAAATGAAGTGCAAGAAGTTGCAATTGCTAACTTTTAACTAAACAATCCGAAGTCTAAACGATGCCTTAAGGGTTGTATTTATAGGGGAAAAGACTAGCAAACATGCCCGTGTGTTGCAACAGTAGAAAAAAATTCACAAAAACTGCTATGCTTGACTCAATATGCAAGTTATCCGTGTGCAATACGACATCCCATCAGTGCTGCCACTGTCACGCCCAATATGCGATCCTATCCAAAAGGAACTCGAAGGTCCCACCAAGGATAGAACCGCATATTGACACGCTTTTGCAAGGTGGATATCATTACATCAACATTACATAATAGATATGATACATGCAAAAGGCATACAATGCCACATGAATACAACATCATCTTACATAAGAGCACCATCCGACTACGGATGAAACACAAATAGAAACTCAAACGACATCCACCCTGCTAGCCCAGGCTGCCGACCCGGAACCTATCCCCTGATCGAAGAAGAAGCAGAAGAAGAACTTCAAAACAAGCAAACATCGCTCTCGCGTCATATCATCGCATAACCTGTACCTGCAACTGTTGTTGTAGTAATCTGTGAGCCACGAGAACTCAGCAATCCCATTACCATGGGTATCAAGACTAGCAAAGCTTAAAGGGAAAGGAAGGGGTAAAGTGGTGAGGTTGCAGCAGCGACTAAGCATGATATGGTGGCTAACATACGCAAATAAGAGCGAGAAGAGAGCAAACGGAATGGTCGTGAAGCTAGCAATGATCAAGAGGTGATCCTGAACTCCTACTTACGTCAAACATAACACAAAGACCATGTTCACTTCCCAGACTCCGCCAAGAAGAGATCATCACGGCTACACACGCGGTTGATGCGTTTTAATTCAGATCTGGTGTCAAGTTATCTACAATCG